TTTTTAATCGCAATCAACCTCAAAATATTTTTGTGATTAGTCACAATAATATTTTTTAGAAACAATCACTCTACTATGGCTGAATGTGTAGGYTTGTATGTTGCAATACACTACTGTATGTGTGACACAATATGTATATTTTTTTCTTATCTTCTTATCATTTTATTTTTTTCCTAACAACTGGGACCTCAGTATCTATCTTTCATTCCTCTACTCCAGGAGTGTCCAAAGTGTGGCCCGGGGGCCATTTGTGGCCCCTGAACTGATTTTGTGTGGCCCCTGACTTCAGTTCAAGAATTATACTAATTTGTAAACCCTCCCCTTAGTTTATTGTTGAGCAGGTAAAGGAAAAATATTTTGGCCCTCAAGTCCTTCTGACTTTATGATTTTGGCCCATGTGACAAAATGTTTGGACACCCCTGCTCTACTCATTTGGAATGACAAAAAAAAAATCCTTAAATTCTTGATTTATTTCCCTCTGGGATCAATACAGTATTTTTGAATAGAACTAAATTTAACCTCACTGTTCTGCACAAAAAGTAACTGACTCAAAGATGTTTACAGCAGTTTTAGGTACTGTTGTACTGTATATATTAAAAAAGGGGCAATGTATTTTCAAAAACTTAAATAAGGCAAAGCAAGCTGAACCTCCCTCTGTTTCTTTACGCTGGTTTTAGTGATATTTCAGGCTTGAACTTCACTCTCAGACTGCAGGTTTACTTGTGGTTCTACGAGTTTCTAAAAGTAGAATGGGAGGCAGARCTTTCACTTATCAAGCTCCTCTCTTGTAGAACCAACTTCCAGTTTCTGTCCGTGAGGCTGACACTCTGTCTACTTTTAAGATTAGACTGAAGACTTTCCTTTTTGATAAATCATATAATTAGACTTACGTAGGTTTCCTGAATTATTCTTCATTTCTGCTGCTATAGATTTAGACTGCTGGATCACAAACAGCACATTTCCTCACTCTGCTGTTGTCTTTAGTCTCTAGTTGTAATTATTTCTATCAATAACATGTTTTTTCTTTGTCTCTTCCAGAAGAAGGTGCACCTGGACCAGTCCTGGACCAGTTCTTCTGTGTTTGTCTGTGTCTCTTTCCTGTCCCTCAACCAGCCAGTCGAGGCAGATGGCCGCCTGTCCTGAGCCTGGTTCTGCTGGAGGTTTCTTCCTGATTAGCAGGGAGTTTTTCCTCTCCACCGTTTGCTCAGGATGGGAGACTGTGATGAAGTGATTCAATGCAGCCAGCTGGTTTCTTCTTTAGATTGTTCTTTTTTATGTACAGTGCCCTGAGACAACGTGTGTTGTGACTTGGCGCTACATAAATAAACTGAATTGAATTGAACTGCTCCGGTGCTGAGACGGTTTAGTGCTGCAGAGCTTACAGATAACTACTTTATCCCAGCCTGCAGTTGGAAAAGGTTTTGAAGTAAAAAATACTTTGAGGAATCTGGTGACTCCACCATGTTGCTGCCCCGGCTGAGCGTGAATGCAGCTGCGACTTGCATTGGCTCAACAACAAAGGCTCTAATTGGTTGAGACGTGCAACAAAGGCCATCTAAAGCCAGTAGTGATCAAAATCCCACCTCCTGGCCATAACCACTGGGTTTGTGTGTGTCTCTGTGTGTGTGTTAGCTGCCCAGTGAACAGAGATCTGACAGAGAAATATTAATAAATAAATAACTACGTAAAATAAAAAAGATCACCGTTAAGCGTCAACTGCAAAAACAAACATTTTTTACCAGCATTTAATTGGAAATAATTAAGATCTGTGACCTTCCAAGTAGTCATGTCAGTGTTTACTCATACACACTCAAATATAATTTTAGCTTGAGGCCAGAGGAGACCAGCAAGAGTAAAAGCAGGCAGGCAGGTGTTCAAGTAGAAARCATTATTCGATTTCCATCTCTAATCTCAGAGGCAATCCCAAAGCAGGTGCTTCATTAATAACTTCAGATTTCTCAGGGAGCACATTTTGAGAAATKGCTGCCTTAATGAAACGCTTGTAAACCAATTTTACCCGTTATAGAAATGCAGCTGTCTCTCAGACAGGATGAAACAATTCATCTGACCAAATTTAGAGACAACACCAACCACAAAAAGATTTGAAGAAAAAAAAAAAGAAGAGATATGATGAAAAAGATGTGTTCAGATACTGTTTACTTGTCAGCAGACAGAAAGAGTCGGGGAGAACAAGTGGAAATTGGAGACTGTGTGGAAATATTGTCAAGAACAGAGCAGAGAAAGTCCGAACAGCTGCTCCAGGGAGGTTCCTGCGAAACCAGAAAGGGTGAACATGAAATCAGCGGTGTGAAAAAATAAATACAAAAGAGACTCGGAATTTGAGCAGCCTCCTGCGAATTCCCTGTGAGTGACAGGTGGGCATTTTCCAACTCAGCAGGTCACACAGAAAAAAACAGTTTGGCTTTAAAAATAAGACAGGTCTACAGCACGCAGAACAGTTCGATTAAATTTAGATGAACAGACCAACTCTGACTTCAGAAACTCTGAACCATGCTTTTTTATAAAAGAATCATGCAGCACTGACACCTGGACAATCCAGAGGATGGATTTGTGAAGGCTAACAAGCACACCAAGACAGCCTTGACATTTGCTAACAGAGCCATTATCTATGTCCAAACCACCCTGTGATGCCACCATGCGCAGGGAGGAGGCACCACCACCAGCTACTATCTCTCTGAGGCACAGGCAATAGAGCAGTGCATGCTGGAAAAACAGCTAGAGCACCAAAGCATGTGGAAAGCTGTAGCTGATATTTCTTTAGGAATGAAAGGATGAGGAGARAAGGTGTTTGTAAARCAAGAGAGAGGGAGTGCAGGGGAACAGCAAACTCTATACACTTTTCATTTCAGCTGCTCAGCTTTGGAAAAGTTATTCTTTACAAAATTTAACAATGAACTTCACTTTGGGGGGGACTGACATCTATAATGTAAATTATGGAGTACACCGCAGCCTTTATTAAAACCTGCTGAGACAAAGTATGGACTGTACTTTCAATAATTCAGCAGGGGAGGCAGCTGCCTTCGATAAGCTAAAAAAAAAGGCCAAATGGAGGGTCTCCAGCATGGTGTCAAAAAAAAAAAAACAATACAGAATCTGAGTGTTTCATGCACACATACAGCGAGCTGCAAGGCCACTTCACAYGAGGACACTCCCCATTCTTTTCAGATCAAACGGGTTCTGACCTGTTCTGTGCGCCGCTCGGCTTATCTTTTTATTATGCTGCCGATAGAGGCATTCGCACTCGTTTACTTAGCAGGAAAAGCAGGAGTTCACATATCTACGCCTGACATAAATGTACTCTAACAAATCCATGCACATTTATGTGAGAGATATGAGCAAYTCTAGTGTCTCCATGTGTGAGGGTAAAACACAAGGCAGAAGCAGGAAGGCCTAGGACATCAGATCAAGTGGTCTTCTGCAGCCAAGTCAGCAGTGGTGGGCACCAGTYCGCTAAAGCACAAATCCGCTAATTGCGGACCTAAATATTTTGTTTGTACTTTAGCGGTCTTACTAAATTTTATARTTCATAAGTGGATTTGTGCTTTCTGAAATTAAAATGCAGTACTGCTAATAACTAATTATCTACCAGTCATCATTAWCTTGAAMAGCGGAAGGTGTGGCTGTCAATGAATTACAACACATGATCTATCCAACAACACCCCTCCCAGATAAACACWATTATTGGAAARGTATACATCTTTGCTGACTGTTGCTTTCGGCCACGGTTCTCATTTCCCACAATGCTTTGTGTCTGCTTACATAGCAGGAAGGCAATGTTTAGAAATCCCTTTCCCAGCAAAAACTGTAAACGTTTGTAATCCATACTAAACTTTTGTATGTATTGATTTATTTTACTTTACAATCGGAGCTCCTTTTTTAAAAAAAAATAAAGTTTAAACGCTGGAGCTCAATACTTGACGTAATTGGTCGAAGCAATCGGCCAACGGGGTTAGACAGACATCTAGTGGTCAACTGGAGCAACTACATGGCAACCTTTAAAATCCAAGCTCTTATTTTGAAGTTCGCAGATAGTTTCCTGTACTCMGTGCTTTCGTTTCCCGTCATAAATCAAATCCGTCATGTACCCAGAATGCATCGCTTCAGTTTTCCAATAAACAGTTTAAAATTACTTTATTGATGCTTCTTTAATGAAAAATCYACAACAAACAAAAGAAAAAGACAAAGAAGCAGCCGAACTAGCAATCCTCAACAACTTTTTAATTTTTACACCAGGAGCCAAAGTTCTGTTTCAGGAAATCACATCCCCAGCAATCRGCGGTTGTAGAATTAAGTTGTAAAAGAATTCATACACTGCTAGTTGGCAGTGTTATGCATTAATTGTACATGAATTGTTGCCAGCTAGTGTCAAATTGAACTTGCGCTTTAAAATTAGCTTCTGCTAGTTTTTCTATGGCATAAGCGTTATTGAAGTTGCAGACCTAAATATTTTTCATAAGCACTTTAGAAATTGCAGAGCTAATTTTTGGATTGCACTGCCCACCACTGCAAGTCAGATATTAAAGTTTATCCTTGTGTTTATGTCTTACCATCCTSCAGTTATATACATTTATTTTATTCTTCCATCCTCTAATGGTTTGACTCCCCCCCAGATGTTAATTCAGCATTTATGTTACACCCCATGATGTACGGTTAGAAAATATGTACAGTAAATGCAGAGTTTGGCTGCTGTCCTATCCAAATTGGCCATAAACATAAAGTGAAAGCAAGATTTGCATTGAACTCACAATAGCTGAAGCTGCAATATGATAAAGATAAAAGTTCTTATTCAGCTGTTCCCCTGAACTAATCAAAGTGAAAATCCCTAACCTGCATCATATCARARTTGTGAGTAAACAAACAAAGATCAAAWWAAAAAAAGAGGAACGTTAGGGTAAGAGGAGGAAGAGTGAAGAGGTGGTGACTACAAAGTGCAGTTTCTCATTCAGGTGCACACATGCTACTCGGTACACACCCCATACCTGCCAGAAGTCCTGCAGAGAGGGAGGGGCAGAACAACAAGGAGTCAAAGGAGGGAGGGGATGGGAGGGAGGAAGACAGAGGAGAATTAGAAGGAGCAGGGGAACGAAGGGAGGGATGGGGGATCAGCAGACGGTATGATTCAGGGAGGAGGCAAAGAAACATGTGGGGTATGGGGGGGKGGGGGGTGGGGGTGTTGGCAGATGCCGAATCGAGGATGAGAGTTTGTTCAATGAGAGAGGGAGACAAAAACAAATTGAAGGGATTATTTGCTATGAACATGGGAGAGGATTGCTGATACGATCATGGGAGAGTATTCAACAGTTAAAGGACACATATAATCAATATAACATTTCTGGCAGCTGAAAGCATGTCTGCATGATGAGGGTAGAAGGAAAAAAACAGATGCAGTGAATTAACAGCTCAGATTAAATGCAGTAACAATTTTTGACCACATTCAAAGAAATCAGATTATGGACACAAACAAAACAAGTCAACATAAACACAGTTTGTTATGTAACAATATAGGCTTATAATGCTGGACTTTTAAAGGGGACATATCATGCAAAATCTAATGTTTTTAGCAATTAAATGCAGTTTGTTGTGTAACTGGAATGCAGAGAAGTTGAATTTAGTCACTCCCGGTGCTGTGTAGATACAGTATTTTGTTTGGATCATATTTTTMAATCTGTTCAGTTTTTTATATTTTTGATGATGATTTATGAACTATTACACCTGGGTGAAATGGCTGAAAAATGTATCAAGATTTGAGTGTTTCATTTCAAACATTATTGATTAGTTTTTTTTTGCTTTGCCTATTTGTAAAAAGGACCAGAAGAAAAAAGGCAAACTGGTGACGTGACCTTTCCTCTTTTTCCGCAATTTCCTTTCAAGCTGCACTCAWTTCCTCCTTTCACTCCACGTCGTTCTCTTTTATTTTTAAGCAGTTATGAGGCACCCTGGTGAAACATGAAACGGCTGCTGCACRTTACTCAACAGGTTGTTGCTAACTGACCAAAGCGTGAGTGAGAGAGTTAGTTGATGCCACCAACCTTGTTTAGCAGGGCTTTAGCCACTGGGTAGCTTCAGAAGCTGCCCCGGTTCCTAACTTTTTTTCTTCCGTAAAATTCCACAAACTCTTTAAGCAGGGTGGGGCTCACCGCAATTATTTTATGAAGTCAGAGGAAAACAAAGATTAAATTGCACCGGTGTGGATAGAGGAGGTGAATTTTACAGCTTCAGTAGCTTTTTGTGTGTTACAACAATCTTCTGTAATTTTTTATTTCCTTATGTAAATTTGATAAACTTCTGTAAGTGAAATTCTCTACGCTCTATATTTTCTGTTGATACTGATCACGTGTTTATCGAGAGATATAGCTTCAACATTTTATCACCCAGCCTTAATCTCTGCTATCAAACTATAATGGATTAACCTGGAAGCTGGATGGAGGTGGGATGTGAGGCGTCTCGTTTGGATTTAAAGAAACAGCCTCAAAATGAGTTGATCTGAGACAAACATCAGTAAAGGGGTGAAAGAGGGGACTGTGAAGTTACAATAAGGTGGAATTTAGACCAGTTCTACTTTATATAGACCCCAACTGCAGGATTTAAATGTGAAAAAGAAGTATTTAAAAGCATCATTGACTTTAAATTAACTAGTAATTAATAATAGTGCACAAAAAGCAAGTCATGTTCTTGTGTTTCACTCACATCAACTTGTGCTTTTTTTCTTAATTTACCACCACACCTTCAGCTCCATCATTCCTTTTTACACCTCAAATCACCCTCCATCTCCTTCATCCTTTACTACCAATTTCACAGAAAATGTGTCGGCTATTTAATGAGTCCAATTTTGTGTCATTTTTCACTTTCTTGTCAACTAGATTTTATGGTTCCTTGGCAGTGATTTTAATATTTTCTTCTGCCTCCAACTAGCTACAAGAGTCCATTAAACCAGTGAGAAGGAGGCATCTGTCTGAGCAAACTGAGGGCACAGCGAATGCGTAGGGGTGGGGGGGAGGCTCCCTCTGGTCATGGCTGAAAAATCTCTCGGGTCAACTGAAGCTAAATACAGCATCGCAAGAAAAGTCATGTTAACCAGAGATTTGCATGGCAAATACGTATAGGAAACATGCAGCCTCATGATAAGAATGACATTTACATCCAAACCAGACAAGGGTTGTAAATGAAGATGGGAAACATTTTGATTTATACTTGCCACAAATTAAACCCTAATTAAACTTTAATTACATTAATTAAAAGTTTTGGCCTCTAAGTATTATTAGCTTGGTAAAAAGCAGGATGAAAAAAGTAGGTGGTCAAAGAAGAAACTTGACAAAGAGGCTGACTCTTTACAGACTTGGCCAARTTCATCAGTGTGAAGATTAGTTACAGACTCGTAGCATCCTGAGGACTGATGAATTTTGTAATGAGGTTGGAAATGACAATTATCACACTTCTGATTCACTAAAATGAGATGAATAAAGATGGCTTGCCACTGGGTATGTGAGATGCTCTCTGGTGTCTGCGACGGGGATCMGCGGTCACAGATCAATATCACAGAAAGCAGTAAAGATGATAATTATGTTGGTGATTTATATTAATTTATTTCTTCTTTCATRATGGTGACCACAGAAATGAATCCATTTATGGGTTTTAAGAGCTACTTTGAATAAGTTTGTAGATATCAGAGAGTAACTTCATATTATAACATAACTTTCTGGAAAATTATTATTAAGTCAACATTATATTTACATTATTCCACAATATTTTAAACAAAAACTTAGAAAACATGACAAAAAGTCCTGCTTCTGACYTTAGTGATAACTAACTTGACTCTATCCTCAACAAACACAAGACACACACTTCTTACCTTCCCATCGTAGCGCTTCACAATAAACTGATCCAGACCAAGATCTGTTAAAAAAAAAACATGCATATAAACAAGAATATCCTAAAAGTGATTCAAACAGGCACTCAGATTAATGTCTGCCATCAAGCTTTGCAACAACTGGTGTCAGAACCTTGAATAATCAATGGCACAAGCTTGAGTTTGAYAAGAGGCATTAATAACCCATTTCCATTAAGCTTTCTTTAAAATAAACAGTAATCAGCAGTCAGCTTTGACCTTCATTTTACAGTACTTTAATTAACAAAAGGAGGACAGCATAAATTTTTGTTGTGCTGGATTCATTTCAGGACACAGTTAAAGTGGTTGTTAGGAAGTTCCCTGCCAGAACAGGAAGTCTAATCAACAAAAAACAAACAAAACGCAAGGTAAACAAAAAGTCTCTGAGTTCAACATTCAACTCAGCTGACTGAACTTAGAACTGTGACCATGTTTAGTTACATTGGTTTAAATGCAGCTAAAAATATATATCATAGGCAAATATTGAAACACTTAATTATTCATCTTCATTTTGTTTGGGGCAAAATTCTATGTGTTTAAAATACACACAAAATTCTCAAGTCATCGGACTGCCTCGTAAAATTGTTTCATCTTATTTTGATGTGAAAACAAACAAAAATTTGTATTTTTATTACAGTATGATGATCTTTACTCCAGATTTTCAAATGGGTTTTATTTTTTAAAAGTTTAGAGAAAATATAATGCACCAAAAAAGGATAAATCCTAACAGCTTGGGAATCACACTGTGCGAGAAGTGGTACCGTGTAGAAGAATAAAGGACAAATGGTGGAGGTTTTCTTCCTGATTACCAGAAGGAAGAGCTAAGGGTGAGAGAGGAAGGCAGCAGAGGTGGGACAGTCCAGGAGAAGCTCTGATTAAGTGTGAACTGCAGCCTTGGYTCTTACTGTGAAWGAATGCTTCAGAAGAAACAGTTTCAAACTGAGAATTCAACCACAAGTCTATTAGGGAGGCTGACGTCCTCCCATAAAAAAAAGGTCACGAAACTGAACTTTAATTTAAAAATAGTGCTTCTGAAACACATGTATGCCAAAGCTCTCTGACTTCACAAACCTCCCATGGATGAAGATCAAATATCTATCAGAGGCTCGTTGCATGATACCTTAAAATATGCTCTGGTTTGAACCTGTTAATTGACACACCAACTGCTGTGCTGTGATTCCCTGCACTCAGTCCTGCCCTCCTCTGGTTCTTATATATTCAGAGTGAGTGGTATTTTTATACCAAGTACTGTCACGAAACCCAGAACTGCCCAGCATTGGTCAAGTGTTCCTGTTGAACAAATGTAAGCAACATGAATCTGATCTCAGCAATGCTATCTGTAGTTATAAACGGTAGCAATCTGCAATCACGTAGTGTTAATAATCTATGTTTAGATGCAATGAATCACAGACGTAGACTATTTTGAAAATATTTCAAATGTCAAAAATCTAGAGCAGGTTAAAGWAGTTCCTATGAGTAGTTTTTGTCCTAGAACAGCTGTCATAGCTTCACAGGTGAAACGTGTTGCTAAATGCTTAAGAATAAATAAGTCTGTAAGTAATTAGCTGTGGTGTTTGAAACATGACTRTAGCTGCGTTTCCAWTGACCATGGAAATGCGCAAATTAGAATTTCAAAAATAAATTTGCTCAATGGAAACATGTCAATCTCTAAAAATATATATATGTTTTTCGACAAAATGGTTTTGCGCAAGGATGAGGTGGTATTTCGGCCATATCGAAATTGGTGTATTTCGCAAAACTGCAATGGAAACACTTTTTTCGCATCAAGGGAGTCACGTGATCAACAACCGGCGGTTTCTACTGGTGAAAAAGACAACGAAGAAGAAGACAACAGGAAGTAGAAGTAGTAGTAAACTCACCGACTACAATTTCCCAAAAGCGCAGCATACGTAGCCGCTCCCAAGTATAACGGGCTCGTCACCTGAAAGCCTCGATAAGACGCCAACGTCTCCTCTGATGGCTGACGATGAGCGCTAGTGTTGTGGTAGCAATATGCATGTGTTTACATCTGTTGCCGCCATGTTTGTAGTGACTTTTCGCGAGAACAAACGTATTCACGCGTGACTTTAATAGCATTTCTTACTTAATGGAAACACCACAATTGTGAAACTGTTTTGTTTTTTGACATTAACAGAATATTGACAAAATTTTAAAAAGTAAAGTTTGGACATTTGTACACAGCGCATGTTCAGTTAGCCTCTATGCTAATTTGTGGTTTGACAGGGTTTGTGGACATAATGCTACTGTGAACTCTTATTAGATGTGGAAATAAGATAAATCAGTGTTTAATAATCCTAACCAAAGTAATTTTAATTAGTAAATCAGTGTTTCTGTTTCTTTGTTTCAGTTTCAGTGTTTTGGATAAACATCATACGATTACCAGCTGCCYCCTGGTRTWTATTCACAAACCTGATAATTGCAGATAATCAAGATGCATCAATAATTGTTTTATAGTCACATCACAGCTCTCTGAGGTGGAATCGAATCAATTCACGATTCTCACWCAACTGTTGCACGATGAGCACCAGATGTCACAGGTGTATACAAGAATAAATTTCATGTCAGGCACAATGTTAGACTGTTTTATCTTTAATCTGCAGCCTCATGAAATTAAAAGAATGAAACTGCCTATGCCAGTGATTAGACTCTGCAGAACAAAAGGAGATGAAGAGGAGGAGCACAAACTCACTCTCAGGCTGTTTCTCATTGGGTGTGATGGAGCGTATGAAGTCCTGGGGCGTCATGTAGACCTCGGCGTCGCCGTTCTCGTTGATGACCTTCAGTGTGGCGAAGTAACGGAAAATTTTGTCTGGAGTGGAGTAGGCCCTTATTCTGTTCTCGTACTCCATCACCTGATGACCGGACAGAGGAGCGACTGATGAAACAAGCTTATCAAGTGTGGGTTTTTTTTTATTTTTCAAAAATAAAAGATAATATACGAGAGTGCAGGAGGAGAAAAGAGCAGTGTGCAAACTGAAAAAGGCATCAGCTCTGATGGAGAGGTACATTAACCTCACTACGGATCCAACACAATCAAAACAGGAAGTYGGGTGCTTTCAGGGTGAGGCTGACTGACAGGTTTAAACGAAGGAGGACTGCAGTGTGATCACGCCACAACATCAATGAGATGTCATGCTGACTTTGCAAACTAAATTTTTCCAGCTCTGTTACACATCAAGTCATCTGAATGTTTGTTTCAAGGCTTCTGGTCTCTTCTCGGCGGAATGTTTCAAACAGACGCTGAAAACCTGGGAAACAGACAGAGGCGTGTGCGTTCAGCAGCTGATTCACATCGGTGGTAATTTCGTGTGACACCRAGCGAGTGTGTTTACTACAGCAGGTCCCTGAGGAAAAGTAAAATGTGTTTTAAAGCTTCAACATTTTGAGGCTGTCACTTCAGTTTGATGAAAGGCATTTTATGAGACAACAACACAGACTCTGATCAAAGAAAAATGAGGAAAAAGAAGGTTTTCTTCTGAAAACTCGTCATATTTGCTCCAAGGTAGAACTGTGAGCCACCACTCCAGTGTCTGCTGGATCTAAGTGGAGGTTTTTGGCTGTCGGGTAAGATTTAGTTTTCATCAATTCTCTTTAACATTCCTGCTAACTGAAATAACTTTATTATATTTTGATTATTTTTTTAATTTTAGATAAAAGAAATTAGCTGAAGTAGCCCATAGCTGCTGATTGGGGGCTAGGAGAACATCATGTTTAAGTCTACATCAACTAAACATTCCTCTCTTCATCAAAAAAATATATAACAAAGTAAACCAGATCTGACTTTACTGAAAGTTAAAAAAATTGCTGAAATAGAAAAATTAAAAAAAATTATTAAAAAAATAAAGCTTTTCAAGGCAAAACTTTCATGGCCATGGCACAGAAAATAAATACACCAATCCTACTTAAAATACTTAAAAATTCTTCTTCTTTGAACTTTCATGCTCAGATTCAGAGCTCTGAGCGTTCGTAACTAAGTGATTAATTTATATATATTTTTAATTGTTGAATATTTCTTGTGCACTAACAACAAAACTGCATTCTTGGCCATGCACATTATTTTGTTGTTCACTTCCCTCATTGGCCACTGCTCCACATGTATTATTTAACCTGCTGGAGTACAATATTAAAATTAAAATATCCAGATTTGGACTATTTTTTTAAATAAATGTTATTTATCAGCAGCATGATCTTTAGACAAATGTTTTCTGTCAGAGATCACATGAACGAATCAATATACAGCTCTACCATTTTTAAGAGTTAGAGACTCCCATGACTGAATATTTTTAAAAAATTTGTTGCACAAATCTTTTGAACGTTTTTAAKACTCAGGCTACAAGACTGTGTACCTCTGCGACTCACACAAGGAAGTAAGGAACCACCACACAGGTTATAAAAACATTCAAGAGACTCCCTTAAAAATGAGGTCCGCCAACAAATCTCAGCTAAAATACCACCTTAAGTGCTTTCTTTGTAAATATTTACCAAGAGGTGAAATTAGGTTCAGGGTTTCTCATGCATGTATTGTAAAACTATATGTCTGATCAAGTTCAGGACAGTGAGAGAATAAATTTGCTCTCCAACAAACTGTAATGACTGGTACAGTGACTGTCATTTTTATGCATCTGTACAACTGCTTCTTTTATCATTGTAAAAACTACAGTGGCATYTGCTGTTCAAATCTTATGTCCTCTGTCCTCTGCAGAGCTACAAACTGTATTTATCTGGTATTATATGAAGAACTGTCAGTTTCTTCTTCTGTTTGTCATCTGACGCCTAATTAAGAGCAAAACAATTCCCAGGAAACCACACTTCAGTTGTTGATGACAGCAGCTGATTACCTCTGAGGGTTCCTGTGAATATTCTGTCAACATATACTAATGTTAGCATACTGGACATCGATTAAGGGCTTTTATTTTTTTCCAAAACACTATTCTGATGATTGACTGAATGGCTGTGGGTTTATTGTTTATTGATTACCTTGCGGTCTCGGAATCCTGAGCGGGGCTTCTTCTTTTTCCCCTCTTCGCCTTCATTTTTTGCTTCTTCGGAGCTGGACTCCACCGATTTCTCCGCCTCCGTTTCGGCGTCTCTCCCAAAAATGGCTTTCTCGTCCACCGGCTGCGTCGAGTGTCGAACCGAGGGCCCCACATCAGCGTAGGCTCTGGTTTTAAAGAAAGAAAATGAATAACAGTTCAGTTCTTGATAGTATTATGGTGTCACATGAGGATAAACAGAGTTGTAATGTAACTAAGTACAAATACTTTGTACTTAAGTAGAAATTTTGGGCATCTGTACTTTACTTGAGTAATTATTTTTCAGCCTAATTTTTACTTCTACTCCTTACATTTTTATACAATTATCTATACTTTGTACTCCTTACATTTTTTAAAAAGGTAAGAAATAGAAAGTTATTTCTCCTTTTTCATTTTGATTTGTTATTGTTTAAAAAATACTATCCTGAAATATTGTGGCTCCTGGATAGAGTGAATTTAATTGTGGTTGGATGAAAAGTATAAATATATATCATTGTGATACTGTATTTAGTTTGTACATAATCCATCAAAGCAGCACACCTTTAGAAAAAAAACAATTTTTGAAGAGGTCACCTCCCAATAAACGTATTTTGGAAAATCTAACCGTTCATTTTTACTCAGTACTTTTACTTTCATTACTTAAGTATATTTTATGTCAGAAATTTACTTTTGATACTTAAGTAAAAAATAAATCAGATACTTTAAGACTTTTACCCAAGTAATATTCTTAGAGGAGACTTTAACTTTTACCAAAGTAATTTTATGATAAGATACTTGTACTCAAGTATCACTTTCAGGTACTTAATACAACACTGAGAATAAATATGCACTGCATATTCCCTGTGTGTTTCATCTTGGGGAAACTTTCTTTAGCGTCTCAGTACAGAGGCTATGATTAAGGCTGCCACGATTAGTCGATTAGTCGATGACTAATCGATTATTAAAATAATCGATTAATCGTTTTCTTTTTTTTTTTTTGTTCTTTACTTTGTTTTTCTCCAAACTGCTTTGACACCTTACACTGCCACATCTACCTTTCTGTCCTTGACACACATGCACAGTAGTGGTAACTGGGGTAGGCCGTGGACGTCACAAGACATTATACAGACAGGCTCTGGTATCATGGCTACCCAGCAACGGACCTCAAAAGTGTGGGATCATTTTAAGAAAATGAAAGCGAAACCTGTTCAATATCTACAGAGCAGAACTTGTCTTCCACAGCAGTTATCTTTAGTTAGCATATAGCTAAAATCTAACCATGGTTATATAATAGCAGCTGCATTCTGGCATGATAAGCTGTATGTTTTATATTCAATTAACATATGATCCGATTAGTCGACTAATCGAAAAAATAATCGGTGATTAATAGATTACAAAAATAATCGTTTGTGGCAGCCCTAGCTATGATACACACAGAGATAATGTTCCTCCCAGTTTAGTTCCTCTGGATAAYGCAGAGAAATCTATCAAAACAAACTCAAACTTGATCATATTCCTGTGACTAAAGTGAAAACTGTAATAATACTAATAACAATAAATAGCTGAGTTCATCTGAGACAGGTTAGATAACTCAGTTTAACGTGACACAGGGAGAGTGGAGTCTAAGGTGAAGGCCTGGAACAGTTTCATCCCATCAGTCTCACGAGCCCCAAGTCTCCATCAATCACTCCTCCTGCTGCAGCTCAGTCATTCTGTCCCTAAAGAGTCACTCTAACACCCCCTCTCTAACGCTGCACCTCAACTCAGCACCAACCTTTTGGCTAATGAATACCCATAAAGACATTTAAAATTGGTGAATTAATTATGGCATGTGCTAAAAACTCTTAACGTTGTTTGAACACGGCTCGGGTCGGCTCATCTGCTGGGAACACCACGGGATACGGGAGCCTTGATATAAGACACACAATGACACACTCTGACTGGGGTGAATATATTTAATAGGACAGGAAAGTCATAAAAACACACCAGTAACGATGTGACAAATGAACAGCTATTAGTGTGAGATTGCTTCCAGTGACACTTTGTAAGAGGCGAGACCAATTGACATTGAGAGAAAGGGTGGCTAAACGCTGAACGGGTTTCTGTAAATCTGCTTCAACGGGGTAAATTTAGTATTTGCTGTTGCAGTTCAGCCGTTTTTAAATGTTCAGTGGTGTAAAAAAACAAAAACGTGTATTAAAGTGTCAGTGACATCCAATTTTTGTAATACATATGAACGCATTTTTGAAAAGATGTCATTGATAAAATATTTCAAAAGAAATTTCATGTCACTGAGATGAACAGTTGTTGAGATTTTTGCCTGTAAAGTAACAGGAAGTGATGTCAAAGGGGAATGTCTGAATGTGAACAGAGCAGTGGTACAACTGATAACAGACTGTAGAGAAGAATCTGATGTTTCTTTAGATTATTTTGAGTCCCTATCAGAGAGATGAAGAGTTTAAATAATATTGTTTCAATAAACAAAGACGGGGCGGCACGGTGGCTCAGTTGGTAGAGCTGATGCCTCTCAGCAAGAAGGTCACCGGTTCAAATCCCGGTCTGGGGACCTTTCTGGGTAGAGTTTGCATGTTCTCTCCGTGCATGCGTGGGTTCTCTCCGGGTACTCCGGCTTCCTCCCACAGACCAGAAACATGACTGTTTTTGGTCTGTGGGAGGGAGGGAGGGAGGGAGAGAGAGGGGGGGAGAGAGGGGGGGAGAGAGAGAGGGAGAGAGAGAGGGAGAGAGAGAGAGAGAGAGAGAGAGAGAGAGAGAGAGAGAGAGAGAGAGAGAGGGAGGGAAGGAGAGAGGG